CACTATGCATATGGAGACACTTACCCTGATGGAGCAGTTCTGGACCTCACTCTGGAAGAGATTTACGAAGTGACAGATGTGTCACCTGGAAAGGATAAGTCGCTCATGAAGAAGCAAGTGAAGGAGACAGACCGGAAAGCCATACAAAGATTTATGCCAAAAACTAGAGAAATAGAGGGAGGGAGATAGGCATAGCTACCCTCCTTCGGACCGAAAAAGAACAAGATATTTTAGACCTTCCTTGTGTCCATTTTTCTTTGGCCCTGCCAGGAGGGATCGGGTTACGAGAAGCCCAAGGACTCTGTCCCAGTGACCTTGCGCGTGGAGCAGGCGACGGACGGGCATGGGCAGCCGATCCCGTCCTTCATCGCAGAGAGCCTCAGCTTCACGGCGGGCAACGGCGCTGTTTGCGACGCACTGGAGTTCGCGGTGCAGCAGATGAAGAAAGGCAGGTTGGGCTGAAAAAACAAATATCCCAGGACCATCCAAGACCCATTAGAGGGTAGGTGGTGAGTTCCTAGATGTTTTGTTTTGACAGTGCATCCACATGAAGACCCGTCAGACCGGTGGAATGAACACATATTTCCAAGGCCTGAGGTCTTGGCTTGCGGGTCTTCGACTCCCATTCGACTTTCCATATCCTTGCTAGAAACTCTCAAGAAGAACTCTCAAGAAGAGGTCGAAGACGTATGCTCTTTTTGCCGACGAGCTTCACTTTGCTCGTCTTTCCTTTGAGAACAACAGCTTCAGAGAATTCTGCGCTGTGAGGTGAGCGTGCCGTGGTGACGTCAGCAGCACATCTGTGCCGCGAACCCAAGCTGGGACTGGCCGAAGTGGAGGCTGAGAAGGCGGAAGCGTCAAGTGCGGGGCAGTGCGGTGGTTGAGGTTTGGTGGCGTTTTTTGGGGGGTTGGTGAAGACGACTGAGGTTGGGTGTCCTCAACAGGTGTCCTGAAAATCATGTCGTGAAAGACAACTCTTCTGATCGCCGGGTGGCTCTCAGGTGATTCTCACAATGGAGTTGATGGACTTCGAAGAGCTGAAGGCTGGGTGTTTCTGTCAAGGCTTGATTCGATATGATTAGATATGATTGGATCAATGGATTCTCTCTGTGTGTGAGTCTTTTTCAAGTCTTACTTTCATTTGTGGCTTGGCGAGAAGTCTCACATATGTGCTACCATTGCTGCAGGGGACCTGGGAGATGTCCCAGGAGGAGAAGCTTGAGCATGGCGCTGCTCGGAAGGATGTGGGTGCCGAGCTCTTCAAATCAAAGCGATATCGCTTGGCCCTGCAGTGCTACAAGCGCGTAGCAGACCTCTTTGGATATATCGACAACTACAAGGAGGAGAACAAAGCCAAGGAGGGGCAAAGCTTGTCTCAGCACATTCTTTGGTTGATGTTTCACCTGAAAGGTGAGGAACCAGACTCAGACTTGGGTGCTAGGGGTAAGCGTTGCTTCCTCTCCCCATTTCTCTCGCTTTTCGTGTTAGGCAGAGGAGATGAAGATGGCCTGCACTCTGAACCAGGCGGCGTGCGAGTTGAAGTTGGAGCTCTACGCCGAGGCCAAGCTGAGCTGCGATACCGTGCTGAAGCAAGCGGCCAATCACGTGAAAGCGCTCTTCCGCCATGCTCAGGCTTGGTTAGAGTGCTGCCCAGTCTAGTGTTTTCTCATGTTTTCTCGTGTTTGTTTTCAATCACTTTTTCGGCTCTAAGTCTTAGCTTCAAGACAATCAGTCGGAATCCAAATGCTTGATGTTGGAGGCTGACTTTGGCCTCAAGAACTACTTGGATTGCATCAAGGATCTGAAGAGGCTATTGGAGATTGAGCCGCAGAACCGTGAGGCCCGAGCTTTGACGAAGCAGGCGCTGGCGCAGCAGAAGGAGGACCGGGGAGAACGGGGGAACAGGGACATCACTTCGGCCGAGGTGTTCGAGGCTAAAGGGTAGTGGAGACTCGATTTCTGCTGGGCAGGCATCAACATTCCCCCAGACCGACTCACGTGTGAGGAAGACCAAAAGTCGAAGAACCTCTACGGAAAGATGTGCCAAGCGCTTGGAAAGAGCAAGAAGCTGGAAGGAGTGAGATCGGTGGGGTTTCGGTTGGGATGCTTTCATCGAAAAGGTGGAGTTTCGGAATGGCCTTGGAATCTCTCTGCAAGCCAAAGGGTTTGCAGTATTTCTTGTCCCGACTCTAAATAATATTGGCGTCCACATTTCAGGCTTGATATCGGTTTTGATTGCTCAGGCGTTTTTGTGCTGCAAACATGAACACCAGCCTGTACTTGGGTCCTCTTCAGGAGTGCCTGAGAAAGCTTCTGGCGAAGAGGCTTCAACGGCGGAATTCGAAAGTGCTGCTGCTGCAGGAGCATGAGAGCAGAAACTGTTTCGACATGCAGATATATGCCCGACTTTCCACAAGTTTTGTTGCAGGTGATTCCCATATGCTTCCCAAAGGCTTGTAAAGCTTGTTAAAGAACCGCATGGGTTGTGAAAAAGGAACAGGATTTGCAAATCCAACACCATACTGACACCTTGGTGATCTGGAAGCGTTGGGATCTGTGATCGTCGCTTCTTTCAAGCGCCACAAAGACCGCGAAAGACGGAGTTCAGAAAGATGCGAGAAAACGATGCGTGGGCTGAGACGGGGTTGACATGGGTTGACTCATGTTGACTCACAAGACAGCTACAATGGCTGAGCGTAGGGCCTTAAGTCTTGAGCAATGCAAGCTGATGCAAGCCTTGGCTGTGAACAAGAGCATTTTCTCTACGACACTATGACACTTATGTTACTAAAAGGCCAAGGCCTTAGGTCTTGGCCGCTTGGCCTGTGCTTTGCTAGCCACAAGAATGCTTTCAGGATGTTCTTAGCTCAGATCTTGATGCAGGCAGCTGAGCAAATGGAGCGAGAAACAGAGGCCTTAGCGCGAAGTATGGGACTGAAGAGCCCTGTGGCCCTGTTTCGAGTGTTGTGTTTGTGTTGTTCATCGATTTTTGGCACGGATGCACTGGTTGTAAGAAAACCAGCACAAAAGCACCAGCAAATAGGTTGGAGGAGGCCATCTCTACTAGGTTGGAGGCCATCTCTAGTAGGTTGGATACTAATTGATGCCTTCCGGAGATGAGACCTTCATCTATCTCATAGAAACCTCTTTTCGGAGAAGCAAATCAGTTTCATCGCCGCAGAGAGCACTTGATGTTAGATTGCATTTGGTGCTAAATCAAGGAACAGACTAGCAGCTGCATGCTTCTAGCATGCTTTTTTCCTTCCACACCCCTGTTCCTGTGCACGAAGAAACATGACTGCAGATGTTTTCTGTTGGAAAGACAGCCATTCCTCGCCAAGATCCGCTGCCAGTTGCAGACCTCCACCATGAGCGATAGTGATCTTAGCGACGAGAGTCTCTTGGATTGGATAGACCCCAAATTCGGCTGGTCTTAGTTTCCCTTTGTAGTGATGGCCTCCAACCTACTAGGGCCTGCTGGCCTCAGCGATGGCCTCCAATCTACCAGCGATGGCCTCCACCTAGAAGCGATGGCCTCCAACCTAATAGCAGAAAAAAGGCAGATAAAACGACCCAGCATCCTCAAAGACAAGATGGCTAGAGAGGGGTATGTCGGAGCATGTCGACGTCAATCAACCGCCGCTCGAATCTCTAGTTTATAGTCTTGAAAGGAAATATCTCTTGGGAAACCAAAGTCCTTTGCTTGACGAGATTGTTAATGGAGAAAGGCATCAACGACCCTGAAACCGTTGCGTTGGTATTTGGATGGGATCCACCATGTTCTCCATCAAAACCTTTACTGGAGAGTTCAACGGGGACCCTTTTGTTCCCGATCCTTCGACTTGGAAGAGAATGAGGACGAGGTGACAGAGCGACTGAGCAGCTACGGTTCATTGCCTCAGTGACACATCGTGTCGCTCAGGTAGCATGAGCTCGTTGGACTGGGAGGTGGGCGAAGCTTTCGCCGCAACACGGTGCTTCGCGCATCGCTTCTGGCAATCCTGTGTGGTTCGGGGCCAGTGGTGTTTCATAGCTGCCAGAGCTGCCAATTATGTGGGATTTATGACTTATCAGGGAGGTTGAGTTACTGTACCCATCTGGGATCCGCGCTGTTGATAGATGAACGCCTGGCAACCTCAGCAACTACTCGAGTCGATGTCTATTGCATTTCCAAGTGGTTACCCAGTGGACTTGTGGTCGATATTCACTGTACTGGTATCCATCCTTCTCTTGGCCGGTGGGTTTCCTGGAATTCTTGCCCATCTTTCCTTTTGAGCTCTTTGGTCTTGACTCTCATCAGCCCAGAACAACAATGCTTTCTCATTTTGCATGGCTTTCGAACTCAAGGACTACCATTCTTAGCCACGAGCATGATGGCAATCCTGCACTGCAAGGCACTGGCTACATTGGAGACTCTGGAGGATGCGCCAGGACCTTAAAGTCATAGGAGCTCATTGATGGAAGAAACAGCTGAAAACGTCAGTTCCCAGGGCCTGCTGAAAGTTGGCTCACGAAGGGAATGACATATCAAAGTTGTAGGCGCTGATTTTCTGTGTCTTCGGCCAGTCTCGGAGGTGTTCCCGTTCCCTTAGCCTTGATTAGATGTTTCACAGTTGCTGAGTCTTTTTGCAACAGATTTAAGCCGCGTCGAAGACGCAACCACTCGCCATTCGCTTGCCATGATCAGCACTGGAGGTATTTGCCAGAGGTCTGAGTCTCAGCAAGGCGATCCGCGAGGCGATCCTGCCTAGTTCCCATCGTCACAACTGACCCGTCTTCTAAGAGGAGAGCTTAGACAGTTCATGTACTTCATCTTGGCCTTGCAGGGCTCTTTCGGGCTCCAAGCCTTTTCTTTGATTGCTTTGTTCAATCCACATTCACTCTTCAACCGCTCACAAACCCCTGTTCACTTGTATCTCGTCAAACAATCTCTCTAGCACATTGCAGCACCGATCCATCTTCTTTCCTCTCAACCCAAAAAACGGCCTCAAGACGGCCCTAAGCACTGCTCTCACCACGGTTCGCGTGGCACCGGGATGGCGCCCTGGCTCCGCTTCCTCGCCGCGTCCCTGCTGCCTGCGGTCGCCGCCCGGCCGAGCGCCGCGGCGCGCTGCGCGGTGGATCTGTGGCTCTACGAGTCGGCCGAGTGGGCACCGCCCGGGTACCACGTGCCGCTTGGGGAGAGAGAAATGCCATTTTTGTGATCCTTGCAAGTCTATAGAGTGGAAAACAGGGTGGTTCAATGGAAGAAACCGCTTGGAGAGGTTTATATATATTTCCTTTGGAAACCCGACGGGTTTTGCAGGTTGAAATTGTCCATGTTCCTGAAGTTTCAGGTACACAAGTTTGATGAAGTGAACCGAGGCTTTGTATCTCGGATCCAGATTCCTCATCCTCAAGTACCGTGAACCTTTGGCGTGGAGGGCATCCAGATGAGAAGAGCACCTGGCAAACGAAGATCAAGAGCCTGTTGCCTGGCACATTTGTTGCGAGTGTCAGTTTAGGGCGACTGATTGACCATGGGATTTGCTGAGTGCTTGACTATAACACACATATTGCCTGAGGAGTCTCAGTTTTGTGGTCGCTCACGTCTTTTTCGACGGCCATCCAAAGTTCTGCGGAGGTCAGGTGTGCCAGTGGTTCTTCTTCGGAATTGCATGAGCATCCCAGGAATTCACTTGCTGAGGTCAGGCTTTCGAAAGCAGCTGGAGAAGCGTGCCAAGATGGAGCAGCAAGAGATGTGGGAGTTTTTGCCGTGGCAGCCCGGTGTGATGAATCAGGATATATCAGGCAGATACCCTTTAGCAGCAAAGGAACGTAAAACACATGTTGAGAATGTGCTCGCTTACCGAGCTATTACCAGCGACGTGCGAAATGCTTCGTTCGTAGTTTTTTTCATGGACCCAAAACACATTGGCAATATACTTGAAGCCGTCACAACTTGGACATCAATACCCTCACCACAGCTCACATTGACCTTCATAATTATTATGATCGACCTCCGTTTATCACATTATATCACATTCACCATAATTAGGACCTGCCTATTATTTTTGTCTTTCCTCATCCCTCCCCCACAACCCTACGCCCACACGGCACTCCACCACGAGGCTCCTGTCCGATGCCTCGGGCGTCCCAGTGACCACGGTGTCCGCGCTGCGGGGTCTTCTGCTGGTCTTCGAGGGCGGCCGCTGGGTGTGGCCCGGGATCCGCGAAGGCTTCGTGCGGCAACTACAGGTACCCAGCTCCGACACATCGCAGGAGCGACACCAGTCAGTGAAGGAACTTGGAACAAGGAGTCGTAGTAGCTATATTATCTAGATAGACCAGAGAAGTATTTATTGGAGGGGGGAGGCTTTTGCCAAAAGGAGTTTAGAGTATGCACACTGCGTGTCGTTTTTGTACGAAGGATTGGAATATCAAAATCCATGGTTTTTCAAGAGGAGCTGCTCAACCTGACCTTGAAGACTCTGACCCTGGACCCGCTGGCCTTTATCATCGAAGACTTCTTTGACAAGTTGCCCGGCTGCGAGTGGAGAGGATCCTTCGGGGCCACTACTCTGCAGCTCCAAGGTCTCCGTTGATATGATGCATTAACAGGATGAATCTCAACTTGACATGGAGAAAAACGCTAAAAATGGCCAACTCCACCGCAAAAGTGCCCTGTGAATGTCACTCCATGACATGCTGAAACCAAGGTTGCTGGACTGAGGAAAGCTCATGACGACCGCTGGCACGTGGCTCCCTTGTTTCCACCCCCGACCTCCTAAGATGGGAGGGCAACGACGTCACGACGCTTGAGCCATGCCTACGTTGGTGTGAAAAGACCGCACCAAACCGGAAAACGCGAGACGACACTTCGTGAGGTTGTTTCTTGGATTGGTTGCATTTGTTGCTACCTTCAAATTGGTAGCGGAGCCCCGACCAGGGGCTCCCTACCGTGCTGCCAGGTGACAGTTGGTTGTTGATTTGAGAGTTGGTTGAGGTACATTGCTCTTGCACCCTGTACGTTGCACACTGGCCTTTGCTTGTTGCACATTGTACATTGTACATTGAGCAAGTCGACATTGAACATTGGACATTGCACCCTGGCCGCTGACCGCTGTACATTGTACATTGCGCCCTGGTCGTTGACCGTTGTTCGTTGAGCAAGTTGACATTGAGCATTGGACATTGCACCTTGATCGTTGATCGTCGTACATTGAGCATTGCTACACGTTGTGCAGATGGCTTCGACTTCGAGCACAGCTGGTGACACCACCAAGGATTCATGGGTGCCGACCTTTAGCAATCGGCCTCAGGACTACAGAGAATGGAGGGCTCGCATCCACCTGTACTACAAGAAGATGCAACTGCAGAAGAAACCTGTTGAAGGAATCATCAACATCCTCACCACCATGACCGGCACCGCATGGAAGCAGTTGGAACCCCAAGCTGACGCTCTGAGTGAGGACAAGGAAGGTTCCTCAAAGTTGACTGCAGTGTTGGACAGGACGTTCAAATACGATGACCGTGTTGAACAACCAAGGGCCTTCGAGAAGTTTTTCTATAGCCTCTCAAGAAGGCCGGATCAGACATTGATGTCGTATTGTGCTGATCATCGTGAAGCACTGCGGGAGGTCCAGAAACATAACATCTCCCTGCCGGCGGAAGTGACTGGTTGGCTCCTCCTTCGGAGGAGTGGGTTGTCTCAGGAGCAGAAGCAATTGGTACAATCGCAGTGTGGAGCAACATTGGAGGAAACAAAAGTTGAAGAAGCTATGTACTTTTTGTTTGGCCAAGATTTTCGTGGCCGCTCCACCTATGACCATCGTGGCAAGCCCTACAATGCACCTCGCTCAGCTGGAAAGAATGCCTACAAGTGGCAGAAGAAGGGCTCCCAAGCGGCATACGCTGCCAACGAGGATGATCCCGACCCTCAGGACTATGAAGAGTTCTATGAAATTGATGAGGCTGACGCCTACTTTGGTGATTGGCCGGATGATCCTGAAGAGGTCAACTATGAGGATGACGAGCTGGAAGAAATTCTCCATCAGGAGGACGATATGCCTGATGTTGACGATCCCGAGTGGGAAGAGGCATATGCATCATACCTTGATGCCCGCCGGAGGTTTGCAGAGCTCAAGACAAACCGTGGCTACTATCCAGTTGTGGCCTTAGCAGACCCCAGTCCATCCAGCTCAGCCCAATCCCAACGCCCCTATCCTCCAAAGGGGAAAGGATCCAAGGGCTCCAAAGGCAAACACACCTCCAGGTCACCACCCCAAAAAGGTGACGCCAAATCAAGGGGCAAGGCCGCCCTATCCTCCAGTTCGTTCAACAAGAACACCTGTCTCCGATGTGGACAGCCAGGTCATTTCGCAGCTCAGTGCCCGCAGAAGCGTACCACCCCTAGCAACAGCGCATCACCCACTTCGAAGAAGTTGAAGGGTGAGCACAACGCCCTCATGGTGAACTTCGCAATGAAGGACGCCTCAAGCATGCCAAACGGCATCCATGGCACCATTGATGGCGGTGCAAGCTGTATGGTGGTAGGCCATGATAACCTTATGCAGTACATCGAGCACTTCAGCCAGCACCACATTGGACCAGATGATTTCCAGTTCCGCCCGACAGTGAAGACTCTCCAGTTCGGCGGTGATCGATCCTTAGATTCCCAGTGGACCGTTCACTTGCCCATTTGTGTCAATGGCATCCTGGGTCGAGCACAGACCTTCATCGTCCCAGGCAGCACACCGCTGCTGATCGGTCGCCCGATCTTGAAGGCGATTGGCATCCAGCTCAACTTCATGGAGGACACGATGAAAGTACGAGATGGTTCATGGCAGGCCATCATCATGGGCCCTCGCAACGAACACCTGTTGCGACTGGATGATGGGCTTGAACCTTTGACAAGCACCAAGGACTATCAGTTCGACTACATGCTGGAGGAGACCTACCAGCAGTTGTCACTTGAGCCACATGCAAGCACTACAGAACCATACACCCTGTGGCACTACCTCGAGCTCACAGGCCTTGAGCCACCACAGCTCACACACGAGCACGCCATGAACACACAAGAAGATGACAACAACACGGACGACAACAGCACCTCCGATCCTGAGGACATGGACGAAGATGATGATGACACCCTACATCGACGTGCACTCACGGACAAACTCGTCCGGAGTTTCCGTGTGCACCAACAACACCTAGCACAACAGCACAAGGCCACCATCGAGGCCGCGCTCCAAGCACATGCGGAACATCGCATGCAGTTCTGGGAGATCTATGCAGGAGACGCCAACTTGGCTTCAGCCATGCAGGCCAAAGGCTATGTCGTGCGCACCTTTGACATCCGCAGCGGTTGGGACTTCACGAACCCCAAGCACCAGCGAGAGCTGATCAAGCTCTACTACATCACCTCGCCGGACGTGATCTGGCTTGCACCACCTTGCACAAAGTGGTCACCCATCCAACGCCTGAACATTCGCAGTCAGGCTGATCAAGACCGACTGGAAGCACAACAGCAGCACGAGGAGGGAACCCACCTCCGATTCAGCAAGAACCTACACAACAAACAACACAAACAACAACGACTTTCACTCTTCGAGCATCCCAGGTACGCAGAATCCTGGTACACCGAAACACTACAACAGCTAGAGGGACATGACGCCCACATCGATCAATGCCAATATGGAGCAACACTTCCGGACCATGATGGCATTGAGCAGTACATCCGCAAGCCAACCACCCTGAGAGTCACCTCAGAGACATTGGCACAACTCCTTGAGCGCACATGCCAAGATGAGCACTACCACTTGCCCATCGAAGGCAGCTCACCAAACATCGGCAGTCGAGCAAAAGCCGCAGGCAGCTACCACCCACAGATGTGTCAGGCATGGGCCGACATTCTCCACTACTACCTCCAGGAACACTACTGGCCCAACTATGAACCTGAATCAGCACTTCACCAAGACACACCAGACTCACCACACGAACCACAAGCGGCAGACGATGAGCCATACGATGAACCACAAGCCTCAGCAGAAGCAGATGAGCACTTCACGAACAACAAAGGCATCCTGACCCGACTTCAGGAACAGCACTTCGCAGCAGCACAACGAACAGTGCAGCGACTACATCGCAACTTGGGCCACCCCACCAACTTGGAGTTGGCTCGAATCCTCAAACAGAGGAACGCAAGTGCATCCATCATCGCGGCAGCACAGCAACACACATGCACACTATGTGATGCACACCGTCCACCACCACAAGTGCCAAAGAGCAGCTTGCGCACTGGCGGCAGCTTCAACGCACGAGTACAGGCAGACACAGTGTGGATTCATCCACCCACCAGCGTCCAGCAGGACGGCAAGAAGCCACATCCTGTCCCGATCCTCTCCATCGTTGATGCCACCACAAAGTTCATGACGGCCAGAGTCATCCCCAGGGAGCAGTCCGATGATCTCGTCACGGCCTTTGAGAGAAGTTGGATTCGCTTCTTTGGACCACCAGCCATCTTGCAGATCGACGACCACCGCGGCTGGGCCTCAGAAACCTTGAGGACTTGGGCCAGTGACCATGGCGTCCAGTTGGAGATATCCCCAGGGCAGGCACACACCCGCCTCAGCGTCATCGAACGACGCCACCAGGTCCTACGACGTGGACTTGAACTTTTCCTAGCACAAGAGCCGCAGCCAGACAAGCCAGTGTCTGAACAGCTGGCCCGAGCAATCTGCTACGTGATCCCGCAGATCAACAACAGCCCCAACGTCCAAGGCTACAGTGCTACCCAATGGGCAATGGGAGTTCAACCCCGCATGCCCGGCGTCCTCATGGACCACGACCTCACCACAGCACAGCTCACACCCAGTGAAGCTATGCAGCAAAAGCTTCACCTGCAGAAGCAAGCAGCCATAGCAGTGATCGAAGCCGACAACGACTCCCGACTCAGGAGAGCACTCCTTCGGCAGCACCACGCCATCCAGTACACCTACACCGCAGGTCAGAGGGTATACTACTGGAGGGACGCACCAGGGGGAGCAGGGCCAAAGATCAGGTGGAAGGACCCGCCACCGTGATCATGACCGAACCCGGTCGAACAGGCCCCAGCACCAACACATACTGGATCACGCACGGCACCACCTTGCTGAGAGTCTCGGGGGAACACCTCCGACCAGACCTCAACCACACCGACACCACAGACCCGATCCAACGAGCCAAGGCCGCCCTTGACTCAGTTCGCGGACGCAGCACCACGCTGTACTTCGATCTCCAGCGCTCCAACAAGCGCAAACGCTCTGAAGTTCTCACCGAAGATGAAGAAGATCCTGAACCAGCACAAGAGCACACCACCCAAGTTGAGGGAACAAGCACCACACCGGCAATAGCAGACCCAGCAGCAACACCGACAGACTACTGGGATGTGGAAGAAGACGGACTCACCTGGCACCGCATTCATGTTGAACCACGTCAACGCCTGTTTGTCCCAGGCAATGATGCACCCAAGGACCAATTCCTTGATGCCAGACTCACGACCATCCGTCGACCGAACCAGCCAAGGACCGTCCTACGAGACGATTGGCATGCAGCCAATGCCGACCGTGGAATGCCTTTCCACTGGACCGGAAGCACCACCTTCAAGCTGCGCATCGAGTCTGGAACAACCATGCAGACTGATGCAACACCCCAGCCAATGTTGGTGCCAGAGTCCTCCAGTGACACCGACATGCCCTCAGCACATCCAGCAGGAACTACCTCCAATGATGCAGGAACCACTACATCACCACCAGCCCTGGCACCAGGCGATGACGCCCCAATGGCACCCGGAACAGGTGATGATCCCTCCATCGAAGCAGGTACAGTCCCACCACAGAGTGCTGGTGAACCAGAGCCACCACCTAGCATGCCAGAGACACCAACAGTTCCACCGCACCAGAAGGAACTATACACTCCGGCAACGACAGAGACCTTCCAACAGCGAAGAGCCAGAGTGGATCGACAAGAAACACTCTCTTTCTACCAACCCGCCACCGGCAGAGTCCGATACGGACCAAACAGAGAAGTGTTTGACAGCACCCGGGCAACAACCAGCCCATACACCAGGCCTACGGCGCCAGATCCCGAAGAAGCACTCACGTTGAGCACCTTCGATACAGATCTGGCCAAAGCGGACCAACTGACACTACCACCCGGATGGACCCTGGAGAATGGTTTTCTCACCTTGGAGGACCCCAGGGATGAATGGACCTTGCACAGCGACAAGCTCATCCGGAAACATTATGAACCACGAGACACCATGTTTGATCCGAGTGATCCCACCAATGGTTGTCCGCTACCGCTGCACTACCTGAGCAAAGATCGAGTCACCAGAGCAGCCGGCTACAAGGAGACCTATGACCGCTGGAAACAACAAAAGGGCAGAACAACACCACACCCCTGGACAGGCCAGACGATCTTTAAGATCCTACCAGCATACCGCCGACTGGCGATGGACATGTTCTACAACCTCAGCGGAGGACACGCCTCCTACATCGAGCAAACAGCACCAGAACAGGTCCTAGAGACCACAGACAAGGCAAACACCAAAGCACCCGGCCCCAAGGCCAAAGCAAGAAAAGACCAGCTCAGTGAACGACACATGAGCCTGGAAGACCGCCTGGCATTCATGGAAGCCAAGCGAAAGGAGCTGGAAAGTTTTTTTCAAAATGATGTTTGGGAAATGGTGCAAAACGATGGCACGATCCCGGCGGATCGCATCCTCAAAGCCCACTTCATCCTCAAGTGGTCCAAGTGGCCAAATGGTGAACCAAGGGCGAAGGCACGCCTGATCACCCAAGGCTTCAGAGACCCTGACGCTCTGTCAGGAACCCTGAGTACTGACTCACCCACTCTTTCCCGCATGGGAAGAAACTTCATCCTGAGCATCGCAGCCAATACTGGCTGGACCACCTTCAGTGCAGACGTCAGCACGGCTTTCTTGCAGGGCAAGGAACACCCCACCCACAGAACACTGTGGATCCAGCTTCCAGCTGATGCCCGCCGAATGCTCGGTATGGACAAGCACCACGACAACACATCGTTGATGCAGCTTCGGAAACCCATGTACGGTTTGTGTGATGCACCAAGAGCTTGGTACACCGAAGCTCGCGAGCGGATCACCAAGTTGGGAGCAGTAGTTCATCCGCTCGATCCCTGTCTTTTCCTGGTCCACGACCATGAAGCACCAGAACACCAATGGACCAGCCAGACAGACGACAATGGCAACACAGTTCGGCATGCTCCACTCTCCGGCCTATTCGGCCTTCACGTGGACGACATCCTCGGCACCGGCAACATGGAATGCCCCTCCTTCCGAAAGTTTAGTCAATGCCTGAAGAAGACTTTCAACTTCAGGACATGGGAGGAGAACTGTGATATGGACTACTGTGGAGCCAAGATCCACCGGATCAATGAGCACCACTACGAGGTGAAACACACCACCTACCTGGAGAAGCAAAAGCCCATTTCGTTTGAGAAGGCTCCAACAGAACAAGCAGTTTCTGAGAAGCAGCGCACTATGCTTCGTGGAATGGTTGGAGCATTGCAATGGCCATCTACACAAAGCAGCCCGCACCTGCAAGCAATGACAAGTCAGCTAGCAGGTATGGTGAGCAAAGCAACAGTTGGTACGTTGCAAGAAGCAAACAAGTGTTTGAGATTTGCAAAGCAGTACAGTGATGTTGGTTTGAAGTTTGAAGGGCTCGGCAGCTGCACGGATTTGACGTTTGTTGCTTACAGCGACGCAGCCTTTGCGTCGAGAGCTGATCTCACATCGCAAGGGGGTCATCTCATCATGATGACCAACCATGGAGTCACCCAAGGCCAAGAAGGTCAATACCATTTGATCGATTGGCGCTCCTGGAAGCTACCCCGCGTGGCGAGGTCGAGCTTGGCAGCTGAAAGTCAGGCGGCATCCGAAGCCTCGGACGCATTGCTGTACACCTCTGTATTCTGGAAGTTGATTTGGTCACCTTTCCTGGCGCTCGAGGACAGCAAGACCCCAAAGTTGAAGCATCCACCACGGTTGGTGGTTGATGCCAAAGCACTGTATGACCTATTGGTCAAGCAGGATTTGCAAACAGCCTCCCAAGCCGACAAACAGACCAGCATCGAGGTCCTGGTCACCAGAGACAAGCTTTCCTGCACAGGTGCTACAACAGCTTGGGTGTCGAGCGAACTGCAGTACGCTGACGGCGTGACAAAGCAAGCCGCAGCCGGCCTCCTAGCTCAACGACTCAGAAGCCACACCACGTGTTTGCGACCGGACGCAAGCTTCACGGCTTCGAAGAAGAAGAGCTTGGACCAGCGGCGCTTAAACCAGATGCGCTACGCAGTCCCAAAGTCCAAAGAGCTGCTGAACGCAGCCATGTTTGTCACTCTAGCTACCACCTCCACTGCGCACTCCACTGAACCTCCACCCAACGGCAATGACAACTTTGACATTAACAACTTCATGTTCCTTACAATGTTTACATTGTTTGTGGCAATGGTTGGGCATTTGTTATGGCACTGCATCACCACCCGTTGGACGACCTTGAGGTCCACACCCCCAGTGCTGGAGCTGACCGACGAAGGTCAGCTAGAAGAGACTGAACCGCCTCCTTTGGTTCAGCTCGAGGAAAACTATGCCCAGACCGACGAAGACCGCCCCCTGCTCACCTTGGTACAGTTGAGGCGCCGAGAGCGCGAATTGGAGAATGAGATTTCCGACCTGAAGAAGCAGCTTTTGTGGGTGAACACCAAGCACAAGGATATGTACAACAAGATGACCAGAAAGCTGGAAGGTATGGTCGAAGTCCACAACCTCCAATTTGAGCAAATGCGGCTTCGCTACGAGAAGGAGCTTAAAGAGCGCACTCGCAACCGCGCTCGGAATGCTGTCGGCAGAGACATCTACCGCACAGAAGCAGGTGAATGCTGGCACGCATCCTTTCAATGTGCCCGTGGTCGAACGGCGAACATCACCTACACTCTTCGACCTTGCAAGATTTGTGGAAGCAAGCTTGGAGAGGATTTGTTGCCCGACATGGACGAGAGCTTTCAACCAGCTTCCTCTTCCACCAGTGTGAATGTCACTCCATGACATGCTGAAACCAAGGTTGCTGGACTGAGGAAAGCTCATGACGACCGCTGGCACGTGGCTCCCTTGTTTCCACCCCCGACCTCCTAAGATGGGAGGGCAACGACGTCACGACGCTTGAGCCATGCCTACGTTGGTGTGAAAAGACCGCACCAAACCGGAAAACGCGAGACGACACTTCGTGAGGTTGTTTCTTGGATTGGTTGCATTTGTTGCTACCTTCAAATGCCCTTTTTCTTTGGAGCCTTTCGGAGTCCAAAACACGGACTTTTCCACCGACCGCGCTCCTCTGGCGCTCGGGCCCGCGATCGGAGCTCCCAGGCCGTCGGCACAGCGGATGATCGACTTGGCGGAGCCCAAGCTGAAGCCGGCGGAGATCTTGACCGAAGACGCCCCGCAGGTGGACACATGTGGATAGAATACACGGGTGGGTGGGTATACTGGAACTGGGGCTGAAGAAGTACTGTAGTGAGCGGAGTTGATCTTCAAAGGATTTTTTCGAGGTGGAGCATTCAGGTTTGCAGTCCTCGTAGTTTCTGAGTCTCAGACGAATTGGATTTCCCAAATGGGGTCGAAAGGAAGAAAAGAACAGATGTTGGTTCTCAGGAGACAGCACGCAATAATTACAGGTTTGATGCAACGCGGCCAAACAAATCCTGATATGTTGAAGTAGAAAGCGCTCCACGATTCATGGACCTGAATGCACAATGCCTGGTGTTTCCACAGTGTTTCGATTGCGAGATTCTTTACCAGGAGAGGAAGGAAGAATTGGTGGATGTTCGCACCTGCTGGGAAGCTTGGTGTCTTGGATGGCACGAATCATGCAGAGGAAAGCAGCATGAAGTCTTCCACGGGACAACTATCAAGGAGTCATGCTTGCAAAACAGGCACCGTCACAAGGGACCATATATGATTGCTATGACACCATATGCCACTCCGTTTAATTATGGTTTGCTCACTCAGTTTGCCTCTTGAGAGTGATTATGTTTATTCCTTCTGCCTTTGATTTCTGGGAGACCCTTCGTAACTTTGGGAACCTGAGAAGCATGACGTAAAGTAACTATACTTGCTCTCTCCCTCTCCGAAAAGGCCGCAGGTCGATCGGTTTCGTCGCGTCGCCACGTCGCTTTGTCAGGTTGTCGCCCTCGGATGGTCCGGATTTGGGCGATGTGGCCGTGCGCACCGCTGCGTTGGTCCGCGTCCCAAGGGAGTTGCAGGAGCCCTTCCGCGTCCTGCGGCCGCTTGGTTTCTGACTGTTCATATTATAGTATAGTGTCCAGCTTTGATTTGTCAAGCGCTTGACAATAACTAGACGCAGAACTATTTCACTGGATTCCGCCTGGTACCTTGGGTGTGGTCCAACAAATGTTGGTAGCGAGCTATTGAAGATTGATCCCATCAGTTGGGACGATGCCATTAATGGGGGTCCAATCAGTTGGCAGCCACCTTGAGGTACCTCCCAGGGCAGCACTTTGCGGCTCATACCGATTACTATGAACCCGAAGACTTTCAGAACCAGCCCGAAGTGCCCGAGTTGCATCTCAAGAGACGGGCACCAGCATGCCAAATTGGCTACGTCTTGATGCTGTGTCCTTTGCTTGGGCTCATCGCGAAGGAACAGGTGTCCATCGTTTCTGAGCCATTTAGTGCTCAAAGTTACTCGTCACGATTGATACAAGCGAGACCTTCCTTGACTGTACATTGCAGATTCGTGAACGGGCGCTTGCTCTTGCCTTACAACACTTACCGTGGCCGTGACCACACGTGAGGTATTTGTCCAATACTTGCACACTTAAGTGGACTTCAGCATAACACGCTCCTAAAGATATCACAACAAACAAGCTCAGGTCAGTTGTCAAATTGTGTCTCCAGGTAATTGTACATCAATTTACATTATATATACAATTTCAATCTTCGTCCAGCGCCATGGCTGGTTCCTTTGCTGATCCTCCAATTGAAGTGCTGTGGCCTTCCCACATGGTTGACAGGCTGCCCCTTGAGCAGCTGGGTCAGCTCCGCAGGGTTTGCAGGCACTTGGGTGGTTCTTCCAAACCAGCAGACGAAGCTCCGCAGTTTCACTATCGGATTGTTTGTCGCGAGGTCATGTTAAGTTGCTTTTAGGGGTGGTGTCCATTCTGTTCCATTCGGTGCCGAATCGATGTTCTCCACTTCAAACATGCGCTTTTTGGCCAGGAGGTTGGGGGTTGCTGTGAGGTTCTCTTTTTGTTGGGACTGCAAGCAGTTCAGAGCAATATCTGAGCTTGTGTCAGATGACAAGATCATTTTTGTATTTGTGCTGCAATCCAGATAACAACCAAACCACGGTTTGCCGCGCCCGCTTTGCCAGGTCACTCAAGCAAACTTGCGACAAGCTACTGCTGGAAAGATATCAAAGGATCCAGACGGCGTTTGTCGAGATCGGCCAGGGAGTTCGAGAAGTGCTGAATGGACTTCCTGAAGAACTAGAGGAAGAAGACCAAGAGGATGCCATGGAACTGTGGGACTTGAGCACTTGGGTCCGAGACAAAGCTAAAGGTGTTCTGGGACTCCTGGAAGTCACTCGAGACAAAGTCACTCAGGGCGCTGAAGTTGTGAATGGAGATGTTTCTCAGATCTTGGCCGACATCGTGGTGAGGGCAGAGCGCGAAGCCATCACAAACACCAGAAGCCTCCATGTGGAAGCTGCTTGTCAATTCATCCACGCCTCCAGGCAAATAGAGGAGCTGCTGCAACCGATCTTGCCAACGAGACTTGTCTCGAGTGGCTGGGCCGGCATTTATAGAAGAACTCTGTTTGCTGGTTCCTTTTCTTCCACTGAACATCCATTCATTGTTTTCGCATCGTTGGCGGCACCTCTCAGGTCTACATACATCGTCCATTGTGCTGCACCCACCCATGGATCCTCCTTCGGAAACAGAATCCGCTTCTTCCATGACGGATCAAACTCGGATGAGAACTCGAACCTCTCAGCCACCGCGTTTCGCAGGGAGCATCACTGAGGACACCGGAGGCGGACCAGACGACTTGGACCTCCCGGAGTCGATGCCCGGTGGAGCCGGCTTGGTGGAACTACAACGGCTCGAGCACCGGCTGCATGAGGTGACAGCAGAGCAGCCAGGCGACAGCATGAAACGGGCCGCCATTCTATTGGATCTAGCTCGGGTAAAACAACATCAAGGCCACCTGACAGAAGCATTGGAGCACCTGAAACAGTCGTTGCAAATACAGCAAAGGTTCGCTTTCATTAGAGCTTGGCCTGGTGGGAGAATAATTGATGTCGTGCTCTTTCAGAAGTGGCCCTTAGCCACACCCTTCGTGCTCCTTTCGCCTGGGAACTGGTGGACATCGCTTTTGTTGCTGTTTTGCTTTGAGTGGCGACGCATGGAGAAAAGATTTTTTCAACCAGGAAATGCAGCGACTTTGCATGAGCTTGGCAGCGTGACGGCTCAGACTGGAGACCTGAAGGAGGCACTGCGGTACCTGAAAGAG